ACATCTTTTACCTTGCAGAAAGTTGTTTTCTATTCATATAGTTGCAGCAATTTTATTCTTTGGTCCCTGGTTGAGTTTGCAGGCATTCAGAATGATTTGATACTTATCTAGCTGAATTCCTGGGACCAGATGAAATTTTGTCTCCTACTCCTATACCATCTTGGACTCAGATATGGATAAGTTCTCAAAACATACAGTTTCCTAAGACTGAATGATAAAGAAATAAAAAATCTGTATTGATTGATTGCTAGAAAGGAGACCGAATCAGTAATCAAAACCCATCTAACATAAAAAGTCCATAAACAGATGGCTTCACTGAATAGTGCTAACCATTGAAAGATTTAATCACTGTCCCCAGACTCTTCCTAAAAATTAAGGGGATGCTTCCAAACTCATTTTACAAGGTCAATTTCTGATAACAAAAAAAAAGCAGACAAGGACACTGAAAATGAGGAAATTGCAAGCCAATATCCCTGATGTATAGAGATGCAAAAATCTTCCAAAAAATATTAGTGAACTGAATTCAACAATGCATTCAAAGGATCACATACTATGATCAGGTGGAGATTCCTACAAGCAAGAATGATTCAACATCTGCAAATCAATCAACCTGATACACCACATTGCAAAATTAAGGATAAAAATCATATCATCATCTCAATAGTTGCAGCAAAAGTATTTGACAATATTCCACATTTGTTTATGATAAAATCTCAATTGTGACAGAAGGAACTGATTATAATAAAGGTCATATATGACAGATCCACAGCTAACATCATACTTAGTGTTGAAAAGGTGAAATCTTTTCTCTAAGATCAGGAACAAGACAAGGATGTCCATTTTTGCCACTTTATTCAACATAGTATTGGAACTCCTAGCAACAGTAATTAGCCATGTAAAAGAGGTAATAGGCATCCAGGTTGGAAAGGAAGAAGTAAAACTAACTATTTGCAAGTAACATAGTTCTATATATAGAAAACCCTAAAGGTTCCACTAAAAAAATTATTAGAACTCATAAATATATTTAGTAAAGTTGCAGGATAGAAAATCTATATGCAGAAATCTTTTGTGTTTCTATACACTGAGAACAGACTATCAGAAAAAAATATATATATATACTAAGAAAACAGTCCCATTTACAATTGCTAGAAGCAATTTCAGATTTCAATTTCTAATTCTTTAGAAAAGAATGACATACCTAGGAATAAATTTAACCAAAGAAACGTAGATCTACACACTGAAAGCCAGAACTGATGAAAGAAATTGAAGAAGACAAATAAATGGAAAGATATTCCATGCTCACAAACTGGAAGAATTAATATCATGTCCAGGCTGGCTGCCCAAAGTTATCTAGAGGTTACATGCAATCCCCATCAAAATCAAAATCCCAGTGGCAATTTTTAGAACTGGAACAGATATTTAGAACTGGAACAGATATAGAATTTGTAGAAATCACAGAAGATCACAAGTATCCAAAACAAACTTAAGAAAGGAGAACAAAACTGGAGGCATCACACTTTCTGATTTTTAACTGTACTACAAAGTTCTAGTCATCAAAACAGTATGGTATTGGCTGTAAAACGGACAAATAGATCAATGGAAGAAAATAAGGAACCCAGATATAAACCTGCACATACACGGTCAATTAATTTACAGTGAAGGAGCCAAGAATATACAATGGAGAAATGGTACTTTCTTCAGTAAGTAGTGTTGGAAAAACTGGATAGCCATATGCAAAAGAATGAAGCTCTGGACCACTATTTTACACAATACACCAAAATTAACTCAAAAGTAAGACCTACGTGTAATCAAAATTCCTAGAAGAAGACGTATGCAGTTGTTACTTTGTAATCCTCTTAGGAGCTTATTGAGTGTAATCTGAAACTGGCCCCTATACTCAGAGGACAAGGAGGTAGGACACTCCAGGTTGGTAAGTGATAGTTTTAATAAGTAAAAGGAACTTACATGTAAGGCATGTCTTGGGTGGCAGCAAGACAAATGGATCCCCATGACCACCCACCAAATCTTAAAAGTTTAGCAAGAGACCTTAACTGGGTCCAGTCAAGTATACTCTGCAGGTATTCTCAGCACCACATCATTATCTCAAGGCTTTGTCCTTGGAGCAACCTCTGGAAGCAGGAAAGGTAAGAGGAACCCACATTCCAAGGGAGGAGGTAGCAAGCCTTTGATTGCCTGGGGTCCAGCTCGCAGGTCAGCTGGTCGTCACATCTTTTCAATGACCTTCCCCAACATTCCACCCCTCATGACCAGCTTTTATAAGCTCATGTGCTCCCTTGTGAAATGAGCCTTAAGTGTTCAGCAAGGTGTTTTTTTTAAAGATTTTATTTATTTATTTGACAGAGATCAAAAGTAGGCAGAGAGGCAGACAGAGAGAGAGAGGAAGGGAAGCAGGCTACCCGCCAAGCAGAGAGCCCAATGTGGGGCTCAATCCCAGGACCCTGGGATCATGATGTGAGCCGAAGGCAGAGGCTTTAACCCACTGAGCCACCCAGGCGCCCCACAGCAAGGGGTTTTATTGGCATGGAGTGGCTCCTTTGGTGACTGGCTTGCTGCATTGGAGTCTAATGCCACAGCAACAATACAGGTGCATGTAAGGAAACACAGATTAAATAAGACGGTGATTACAAAATCGATGACAATTCTTTTATAAGAGCCCTTGATCTGAGCTATTGATTTATTAAGTCTCCTAAGCTGAGGATTGGATTACTTAGGGCATTCACTTGTATGTCATGTGATTTAATAAAGATGACACATGAGCAGATTCATTGGGGTGAACACACATTGTGTTTGGTTAATGGCACACGTACCTCCTTATGAGTCAGTAAGAATGTCTAAGGCCATTTTATTTTGGAGTACAGCTTTATAAGTAATAAGTACAGCTTACCAGAGACATTTCAGTATTCATTAAGGACAGGTTTTATTGCTATCATTCAGTGCTTGCTGAGTGAATTTATTAAGGGTTTCACGTTTGCTATTAATGTCTTCTAAATCTAAGCCACTGGAGGGGACAAAGACCGTGGCAAAATGGTCTTATCAGTGGAAAAAACAAACATTTCCCCTGACTTTGAGGAAAGGGAGGTTAGCACCTTTAGAAACTTGACCTGGTTGTACATACCATACATGTTGTCCAGGGGAGGCAGCACTGTCAGGTGTGAAGACATGAACTGGGGACAGGATATGCCATTACCAGGACCCCCGTTTTCTCTATTATTTCCATGGTACATGCTTCTTTTCAGATATAGTGCATTTTAACAGTTCCAGCTGCAGCAGGAAAGGAAGATCTTAGTGGAGATTGAGTGGTTCTTTACCTAAGGGTGTGAAGGAACTCACCTGTCTCAGTGGGGTATTGCATTGTAAATTTTAGTAGATAATTCCTTTTTCAAGAATGAGGGCTGTGATTTCCACAACATAGTATGTTGATCCACTGTGAGATTTTGGGCATTGGTTGTTTCCAGAAACTTCTATATCTTTACAGTATTGGGTCCCTGAGCGGGGATCCCTTGTCTGGCATATGAGGCAATAGGCCCTATTGTTTGGTCATTTAAATATGTTAAAACCTAAGACAGTACTTTTTGTCCAGTTGGCCGAGGTAGCTTTGCCTGTTAAGTATTTAATGTGCTGTTTTGATACCCATTTTCCTTTCTACCAATCCTGCTGCTTGTCGTTGTAGGGGAGATGGAACTTTTGTTTAATGTCACATTTTATTATTCATTCTTGCACATCCTGGCCTTTCAAATGTGACCTCTGATAATTATGTGTTTGAAGGGGTTTTTACATATATGGTACTCAGTTCCTTAATCCCCTAATGATGACAGCCTGGTTTGTAGGGTGGCAGGGAAAAGTGTGGGTTAGACCAGATACAATATCTGCATAAACCAAGGCATATTTAGAACCCTCACTTAGAGGAGGCCAATATAATCAATTTGCCAATTTCTCACAGGTTAGGAATTCCGGTGGATGGCCTGATTCTTTTGGCAGTTGCCTTTGGTGTTATTTAGGACACACAGCATGCTGTTACTACTTTAATCAAGTCAGTGTACTATGAGGGCAGTCTGGCATCTTTGGCAATATGCCATCCTACTTGGGCATTGTGGGAGCCACTCTTTATATGCACCCAATCTGCCTAAACTACTGACGGGTCAGTAGCTAGGGCTCATTCCCAAGCTACGGCACCAACTTCCTGATTGCTAGAAGGGTGTCAGTGTCTTAAGAACTGGGACATGAAAAACATTGAGAATCACGTCAGGCTCTTGAAGAAGGACCCGAATGTCATATTATATATATCTTGACCCCACAAAGACTTTTTAATGATGAGCTTTCCATTGTTCAAGCCATAATTTTAATCCCTCAAAATAGTCTAATTATCAGTACAAAGGGTTAATGGCAAGGGCTCCTGAGTGATCAGTAGCCAAACCACTATAAGCTCAGTATACTAGTTGCTATACTGGCTGCTGTGTGAGAAGTTTTACCTGGAGGAGCACTGTGTACATTGCTAGGCACTGTTGCTCTATGGGGGTATTGAGGTTTTGCGCCTTTCCAGAGCTGGAACCAAAATTCCAGGGGCATTCTCCCCTTTTGTTATCTCTGCCATAGTGTCTGTCCCATATCTTTTGGAGTCATGGACACATCCAATTAAAAAGTAGCAATACTTACGAGATGCCCAGAGCTTTAATCTGTTTTATTATTTTTGCCTTCTCAAAGGCAACATGCTGCTATTGCCCTCAGTCTTATATGTGTCCTTTTTTACCAGGCAGCATAAGGAATGGGAGTACTGTGCCAGGTAGACATTAAAAGTCTTCCAAAACCCCAAAATCCCTATAAAGGACTGCACCTCTTTCCCATTCTTAGAAGTTGGAGAGCCTTGTACCTTTTCAGTTACAGCTTTATGAGTCTTAGCTGACCAGATCATACCTTAAAACTTCTAGCAGTGTGTAGGCATTGCATTTTCTTGGGTTCATTGCCCATCTTCTTCCTCACAGATGTTCCTGAGCAAAGCCTGCAGGTGTCCTGCAGCAGAGGTAAAATCTTTACACGTTAACATTGTATTATCAGTGTATTGGGCCCATTTTGCTGATGTGGGGAAGGAGAACAGGGATAGGTCCCCAGCTACCATTGTATGACATATCCTGGCACTTGTACACATAATTTTAGGGGAGCACTTGTAAAGTTCATTATCTCTCCAACATGAAAGCAATTTAATCTTAGTTATCAGAAACCCATTAAATTCTCTTCCATGAGTGTTCTTAAAGATGAAGCACTGTTGTAGGGACACTTTATGCAAAGCATCAGAGCAAAACAGTAACTGCAAATGACAGAAAACTAAAAATGGTCATTTGATTTGATGAGGGTTCATTATTATGCAATGGACAAGAGAACTATAGCTGTATTCTTAAAAGCCCCTCCCTTTTTTTCTGGCAATGTTTTTGTTATCTCCAGAGGTATTTATATTTCAAAGACATGATAAGATTTATAAACTTAAGGGGACAGAGAAAGACGTAAGTTTTCTCCTAGGAGTTTTGGGGTAATTGCTATTTAAAAGTAGGGGTCAGAAGGTATGGGGCATTTTGTCTGTTTCCTCATCAGTTACCATAGCATCCTCCTCTTCATTTTCATCGTTTTCTGTAAGATTCCACCTCATAGCATCCTAGTCAGGCTTTCTCATAAGTTCTCATATCTTAATACATTGTACCCTCTTTGCTTTGTAAAACAGGACACTAAGGTCTCCAATTTATTACTTTCCTTTTCCATCTTGTCTGCCAGCCCCAGGGCTAGCAGAGTAGTGGACAGTCACATGCCCTTTTTTTTTTTTCATTTTATTTCTTTTCAGTGTTCCAGGATTCATTGTTTATGCACCACACCCAGTGCTCCTTGCAATAACATACCCTCTGTAATACCCCGCCACCAGGCTCACCCAACCCCCCAAACCCCTCCCCTCTAAAACCCTGTTTGTTTCTCAGCGTCCACAGTCTCTCTTGATTTGTCTCCCCCTCCGATTTCCCTCAACTCACTTCTCCTTTTTTTTTTTGTTTTAAAGATTTTATTTATTTATTTGACAGAGGGAGAGAGATCACAAGTAGGCAGAGAGGCAGACAGAGAGAGAGGAGGAAGCAGGCCCCCTGCTGAGCAGAGAGCCCAATGTGGGGCTCGATCCCAGGACCCTGAGATCATGACCTGAGCCAAAGGCAGAGGCTTTAACCCACTGAGCCACTCAGGTGCCCCTCACTTCTCCTTTTCTAAACTCAGCTCTTCTAACTTTCTTCAGCCTCTAGTTAGGCATCAGTGGCCAGCTGAACTACCCACAGCAGAAGCCCACTATAGCAACCATGTTTCCCTTCTCTGTCCCATTGTGGTATGTGCATTTCCTCCAAGTTTACCTTAGATTGGCTGGCATTTTCTGGGTGTCCGCATATTCATGTAGTAGTCCATAGGCATCTAAAATACAGGCCACATTTCCTTACAAAGAAGTTGATGGCTAATTTGGGGTTTTTCCTGTGGATGCCTCATTCCCAAAGCCCATTTCTTTGGTCTCTGTGCTGGCTTGCCAATTGTCTTTACAGCCCTCTTGCGAGCTTCATAGCTATAATCTGAAACTGACCCCTATACTCAGAGGGCAAGGAAAGACCAAAGAAAGAGGTAGTCCACTCTGGGTTGGTAGGTGGTAGTTTTAATTAGCAAAGGGAATTTAAATATGAAGTTTGTTTTGGGTGGCAGCAGAATGAATGGATCTTTGTGCCTGCCCACCAAATCTTTTTTTTTAAATTTTATTTATTAGTTACTTGAGAGAGAGACAGACAGAGATAGAGAGAGGGAGGAGGGAGGAGAAGCAGGGAGGAGAGGGAGAAGCAGGCTCCCCGCCAAGCAGGGAGCCTTATGCAGGACTCGATTCCAGGACCAGGATCATGACCCAAGCAGATGGCTGCTGCTTAACTGACTGAGCCACCCAGGTGCCCCCAACCTACCCACCAAATCTTAAAAGTTTATAAAGAAGCCTTAACTGGGTTCATTCAAGTATACTGTGCAGGTGTTCTCAGTATCACATCATCGTCTCAAGGCTGTGTCCTTAGAGCAGCCTCTGGGAGCAGGAAAGGCAAGTGGAACGTATATCCTAGGATAGGGAAGAGGGTAAGGAGCCCGTAATTGCCTGGGGTCCAGCTCCCAGGTAACCTGGTGGTCGTATCTTTTTCATGACCCTCTCCAGCACTGGTACGGTCCTTGACATTGGTCTTAGTGATTTTTTAAAAAATTCTGGCTCTAAGTGTAAGGGAGACAAAAGCAAAAATGAACAAATGGGGCTACTTCTTAGTAAAAAGCTAGTGCACAGTGAAGGAAAACATCAATAAAACAAAAAGGCAACCTAGTAAATGGGAAACGATATTTGTAAATAATTTATCTATTAAGGGGTTAATATCCAAAATATATAAAGGACTCATATAACTCAATAACAAGAAACAACCCAATTATAAAATGGGCAGAGGAACTAAATAGACACTTTCTTTTTTTCTAAAGAAGATATAATGATGGCTAATAGGCACATGAAAACATGTTCCACATCACTAATTATCAGTGAAATGAAAACCACAATGTGATATCATCTCACACCTATTAGAATGGCTATTATCAAAAAGGCAAGAAGTAACAAGTGTTGGAGAATATGTGAAGAAAAAGATACTCTTATATGTTATTGGTGGGAATGTAAATGTAAATTGGTGTAGCCACTATGGAAAGCAGTATGGAGATTTGTCAAAAAATTAAAAAGAGAATGACCGCAGGATCCAGATATTCCACTTCTGAGTATTTATTGATGAATACAAAAACACTAATTCAAGTAGATATATGCACCCCTATGTTCATTGCAGCAGTATTTATAGTAGCCAGAATATGGAAACAACCTAAGTGTCCATCCATGGATGAATGGATAAAGATGTGGTACACACACACACACACACACACACACACACTGGAATGCTACTCAGCCACACATAAGGAAATCTTGCCATTTGTGACAATATGGATGGATCTTGAGGGTATTTATTATGCTAAGTGAAAAATCTGATGGAAAAAGGCAAATAACATGATTTTACTATATATGGCTTCTAAAATAACAAAACAAATGGATAAACCAAACCAAACAAAAAGAAACTCATAGATACACAGATCCATGATTACCAGAGGAGAAAATGTGTTGGGGGATGGGTGAGAGAGCTTATTTGTATGGTGGTGGATGGTAACTAACAGTGGTGATTACTTTGTAGTATATGCAAATATCAAATTATAATATTTACAGCTGAAACTTATATAATGCTGTATGCCCATTTTACCTCAAATAATAAAAGACATATTAAGTATATCTTGAGGAAAAAAATAATTTACTAATTTAGCTTGTTGATTTTAGTTTAATTATTTTCAGAATGCCATCACAGACTCCTGAAATCTAATCCTACTTAGTTATCAACAACAGCAGGGAACAGCTTTATGCCTGGGTGACAGCCATTGGTGACTGGACCTTTTCCTCAAAGCTATTTGCACTTTCTTTATTTAGGAAGCTTGGCGCCAGTAGTGTTTTTTTTCATATCTCTGTGTACCTTTCATCTCTTTCTACTCTTCCTTTCCTTACCTTTTTCTCTAAATAATTATTCACTGTGGAATATGGGAGTACTTGTTTTTCAGCTCACTGTACACCTCATATACCTTATTGTCAAAGCTGTATAGTCAGCAATTGAAAGCACTCATCTTTGCAAGTCTTAATTAAGATTACTGTTTTCAGTACTATTGACCTCTCATTTGGAATACTATTAGTGCACATCAACAAAATACACACAGTTTCCCTGAATCATCACTATTAGAAAAAGATACTTTGTGAGTTACAAAATCAGTCATGTTCCTGAAATTTGTAATAAAAGAGACCTGTTAGAAACCTTCTTGAGCTTTTGGAAACAATCTCCTGGTTTTGTCCTCTCCCATAAACATAACTGAACAGTTACTTATAAACCATTACTGAACCAAGCTGAGCTCTCACCTTGCTGTTACTTATTCCTAGATACTAAAATCCTGGAGTATTATTTAAATTGTGAAAGAGAAAAACTTAGGAAATATATAAAGATCTCAATCTGAGACTATCCATTGGGAGAAATCCATTTGTACTAGAGTATGCAAAGGAGGCATCTTTACAATTACCACCCAAGCAGGGTATGTATACAAGTGCAGTCAAGCTTATTGAGAGCTGAGTGAAAAGGTGGTAGTAGAAACAACGGGCAAGAATTGAGTTGGGGGAAAGATGAAGAAAAATTGATTAGTAGAGTTTTGTGCGTTTTTTTGCCAGGATGCTGCTATGACAAAGTCAGAAAGCCTAAATACTCCCTGTTGAAGTCAGTGGCTACTGTTAGTCACTGAAAATAAGATGTACTTTCAGAACATCTAAAACCAGTTATTTTTTTTTTAAACCAGTTATTGCAATTGGCAGTGAGAATACAGAATCTGTCAAATAAATACTATAGTGAAATCACAGAACAGTGTAAATATACCTCTAAACATATGAAGACAGTTTAATTTTTAAAAATGAAAAATAAATATAAAGATATTTAATGTCTGAACTTTTATTAAAAATTCAAATGCAGTTCAGTAACTGAGTGTGTTGTGAAAATATGTACAACATTTGAGGGTACATTTTAGCTTTATTACCAAGGAATAAAGAGAAGAAAAATGCACATTCTGCCTTATACTTTAATCTTTTCATCACTATAATACACATTATATTCATAAAAGTCATTAGTTTAGTCGTTATAAAAGAAGATTCAAAGAGAAGTACCTGAAATATTGTACCTAAAGACAGACGAATCCTTTGTAAAATAAAGAATCCATCTGAGAAACAGGAAATTATTGATTTATTTTCTGAAATTAAAAAAAAATAAGTGGGAGAATTAGTTCAACTTCTATTAAGTCTGTTACTTTAAGGTCACATTGTAGGTTAGTGTGCTCCTATTATGGAGGATATAAAAACCAATATCTATTCAAAACTATCTCTTGAGATTATGATTTAGAAACAGGTTTGCTTATTCTGGTTTGTCTCAAATTACTGCTAATAAGTATTCCTCCTCAGTCAATGCATTGTTTCAACCTTCATTGATTTTTTTTTAAGAAAGCTGGAGTTTTTTTCTGAGAAAATTAGAGCATTAAAAATTAGAGCATAAAAAAGCATCACATGATGCTTTTGCATGTGAATTTGAAGGGAAGAGTACTTTATTTATTTTACAAATAAATTAACTCTAACCAAAAATCTGTTGTTTTATGTCTTAGGACAAAGTTGTTGCTGTTCAGTTCTGTAACAATGGAGACAGGTAACTATGTAGTACTTATCTGTGTAAACAGATGTTTGACATATTTTACCTCTATTCTTTCAGAAGTAGTTCCCTCTATTGTAGTACTTTATTTATGTTCAGTTTCTTAAGCTGAAAGCCCTTGTCTATTTTTGATGACATCCTTACCCCGTTTCTTTTAAACTCCTATCCAAGTAGTAGCCATACTTTATCAGTTCTTCCTTTCTGAGTGATTTCTTTTTTGTTTATTTTGTTTTTTTCCATTTCTATTATCACTCACCTTGGCCAAGCATTCCATTATTTAACCCATTACCTCCAGTTTTCTTCTCCTTTCAAAATATATCCTGTCCATTTCTGCCAGATCCACATTGCTCTGTTCAGAATCTTTAGTGTTTCCTCTTTGTCTATAGAATAGAATTCAAATGTCTTATGAATTCAAAACTTTTTATAACTTAACTTAGACCTACATTCTTTTCTCATTTACTATCTCCCATATAAATCATTACATTTAACCTAATTGACTAATCATTGCTCTTGTTACATCCATATATCTCTATTTTTTCTCTTGTTCATTGATTTGCTTATACTTTACCTCACACCATTCTTAACCAGAAATATCACCCCGTACTCCCCCTCACTTCTCTTTCCCTCCTACAGTCTCCCTCTCCCTTCTGCTTTCCTTTACTCTGCTTTTCTTCTCCCTCGAGTCCCTTTCTCTTCTGAGTCCTATCTTCCCATGTTCTACCTGAACCCTTTTCTGACTGCTCCAGATTTTATCCATATTGTCTTCCTTTGAACATCTGTTTTACTTATTGTCTCTCTTACTCATATGATATGTATTTCCTGTATCTGTAAACTCAGAAATTACGTACAGGTATTTGTGCACCCTCTCAAATGTTTGATCCCAAAAGGTTGATAATCTTTTTGCCCTGGTCTAAAAATTAACCTAGAATAGATTTTAAAATGTAACCACTTAGCATAAATGTGTATCCATATATTTATATAAAAACTTTATGTGGGTGACCATGTTTTATGTTAATTAAATTTATTTTTTTAATTTTTTGACCATGTTTTATTTTTAAATATTTTTCAGACAGTGGGTGATTGCTATGATGAATTTGTTCATCTTTATTAAATGCAAGAGTAAATAATGATGGTCCACATAGAGTGAAGTTTATATTAGGAATGAGAAAACCTTCAGATAATTTTTTGAGGTTGATTTATTGCACTATACTGAGGTATACACTTGAAGGTTTGTACAGCTATGATTCTTTCATGCTAGAGGAATCTGAAGTTTTTTAATTCTTTGCCTTTTCCCTAAAGGAAAAACATTATTTTATCTTCATTAGTTATGTGGACAATAAACAAAGGATGTCCAATTTTACTAATAAAGATGCAGTTTAGAATAAAAGTAACATTTATTTTTCTTTCGGAATGACAAGATATTAAAGTATGTTAGCACCTAGTATTGCCAAGGGTTTAGGAAAAATGGGCACTCACTCTCCCACAACTTTTAAGAGATAGTAAAATGTAAAAAAAAAAAAAAAAAAAACTTTTGAGGCAAAATAACTCATCAAAAGCTTTAAAAATGTGCTGACCATTTGACTCAGCAAAGATATGTATAAGGTTGTACAAAGATACATATAGAGATATTCATCACAACATTATTTATGGTGAAGAATAGAAATAGTAAATATTTTCATTAGGGAGTTATTAAATAAATTTTTATGCATCCATATAGCTGAGTACTTATTAAAAGTGACAGTAGTTTTCTATAAACCTAGAGATAGATCTATAAAATAACCCTTGGGGAAAACATAAAACATTATATATAGTATAATTCTGTTTCCTGTAGGGGAAAATAGATAAGTGTTTATGTATGTTTTTAATTAAGTTTGGTGGAATAGAAATGAAAGTATAAACAGTGATAAAATTATGGGTGAATGAATGCATTTTTGTAAGTTTTATTGAGATATAATACAAATAACTTAACTTCAGTGTTTTCTGGTATATTCACAGGGTTGTGCAACCTTTACCACAATCAATTTCAGAACATTTTTATCACCCCAAAAAGAATTTCCATACCCTTCAGCTATCACTCTCCAATATCTTTACATGCCCACTCTTAACTCTGGGCAGCCTTTAATCCAGTTTTTATCTTTATAGATTTGCCTCTTCTGGAGATTTTAAATAAATAAATACAATGTATTTTTTGTGACTGATTTCTATCAGTTAGTGTATTGTTTTCAAGATTAAGTCATGTTGCAGCATGTATCATTAGTTCATTTCTCTTTATTGCTGAATAATATTTGATTGTATGGATGCCACAATTTGTTCATCCCTTTATTAGTTGATGGACATTGGATTGTTATAACTTTTTGGCTTGTGATGAATAATACCATGTACAAATTTTTATGTAGACTTAATGTTTGGTTTCTCATGGATTTATACCTGGGAGTAGAATTGTTGAGTTATATGGTTACTCTATCATTTTGAGGAACTGCAAAACTGTGTTCCAAAGTGTATAATTTTCATTCCTCCCAGTAGTATATGGGGATGAACGTATTACTTTCATAATTGAAAAAAAAAGTGATTTCTAATTTGGAAAAAAGTAATAAGTGTATTTTCACTGTTTCTCTGCAGTTTAAGATTTGTTAGTGGAAGTAGAGATGGAACAGCAAGAATTTGGCAATATCAGCAACAAGAATGGAAGAGTATAGTGCTAGATATGGCTACTAAAATTACTGGGTAAGATTGGCTGTTAGATATTTCAGTGGTTCTCATATGGTATACTATCTTTTGATTTACTGAATTATATTTCATTAATGAAAATCTCTTTTTAGATTAGTAAACAGTTTAGAGTTCTTTGGTAGACCTGAAGTATAACACCTATATTTAGTCTCTAAGTAAATTGCCTTTTGCTGTTGACAGACTGTATGATAGAAACATTAATAGTCATTCAAAATTCTGATCTCTTGTGAACCAAAGAGCTCTACTCTGCTAATGCCCACAGAGTTATTTTCTGCCTTAGTTTTCTGTAGGTCATTTTTAATATCTGTCTATACTACTTTCTACTTTGAGGGTTGTCCAAATGTCATCATAAGCTTAACTATTTATCTGTCTTACTGGGGTTACCTTTATAATGTTACATATTGTTAGCATTCCTACTCAATAGTATAAGTACACTTAATCAGCATTCTGTTTCATCCTCTTCCCTGTTGATTGGAAGATACATGATTACATCTTTAGGACATTACAGTTTCTATAGGGTAAGGCTCTGGAACCAATTATCTTCCCATTAATAACAATATGGAACTGACATTGTAGTCCTAGCCAGCTATTCTTATCATGTTCAACTAAATTAAGAGTTAATGAATTTCTTGCTGCTCTTTTACAAGAACTGTTAGTTTCAAAATGTATTACTTAAGGGAATCAAGTGTCCATTTTATGTTTTCTTCATATTTTCTGGTAGCCAACATGACCTTATATTTTATTTTTCAAGGGATTATAGATTTTTTGTAGTTTCACTTTTTTGTTCTTCTGTAACTAACTAAAAATTTTTTTGTCATTTTGTGTCTTCTGTCTTCCTAACATAAGCTTATAGGTTTTGCCCTACTTAGGTACTTTTTATTATTTTATTTTGTGAGTACTTAAAAGCATAGTTTAGGATTTTTTATCTAAAAATGTGCAAGCTACCAGAGAGGTTTTTTTTTTTCCATAATTTGCTATTTTAGATATACCTTTGTCAGTAATTTACAGTGTATGAATACTGCAAATTATTTTATTTAGGAATAATGTGCCATCTGGAGAAGACAAGGTCACTAAACTTAAGGTGACTATGGTGGCGTGGGATCGCTATGACACCACAGTTATTACTGCAGTGAACAATTTCCTTTTGAAAGTATGGAATTCTATCACAGGGCAACTTCTTCATACTTTATCTGTAAGTATTTTTGGAATAATTAAACTGATCAAAAAGGGCATTATTCCAGAAGACAGGAAATTTAAATTTTAGTTTACTTTCTATGACTTACTAACCCTTGGAGAAGTAAATATTTCAATTACCTTTGTTGACGTATCTACAAAATAAGGATGGCACATCGTATAGCTGCTAAAAGCAGATATGAAAACATTTCAAGATCCTTTTGAGGTCTGGTAATTATTTTGTAAAATGCATTTAAGGATATGTAAGTTATTTTGTTTTTAGCATTAGTTGGGATTTTTGTTATTATCGTTTTAGGGGTAGAGCTAACTTTATTTTGACAAGAGCCTCCTTTATGTTCTACTTTCAGGGATTCATTTATGCAAGAAGTAGAGGTAAGGGGAAAAAGTAAGAGAAAAGGTGGTTTTTCCTCTTCTAAAAATGTATTTGTTGTAGTAAGATAGGATTAATAACAGAAGTCATGTAGGTGGGGTTGTTTATTGGTTTATGATGCACTTCAGGTTAATTACCACTTAAAAGCCTTATTTCCTATCTGCTTCAATTATCAGTTCCTAAATACTTAAGGACAGGGCCAAATGATTGCCATAGGATTTACAAAGCAGTTAAGTGATAAGGACTAGAATCCAGCTCTCCTGACTCAATTCACTTTGTAGTATACCATGGTATCATCCTTATTTGACTCCTATGTCAGATTTTCTAAAGATCTGTTTAATTTTGGGAGGATTTCCATATACCTCCCAATTCTCTTTGCTAACACTGTGTTAATGGAGTTTTAGATTCTTTTTTTAATTTGTTTAACCAATTTTTATCCCCTTCTGCCTTTCCCTATTCCCTGATAGAAGTTTCTGTTAATTATGTGTGGAAAAATATATACTATTTGCTTGATTCTTCATTAGTAAATGTGCATCTGTGTGCATGCTTCAGTAGAAATAAAGTATGAGCCACATATGTAATAAATAATTTTTCTAGTAGCTGCAACAGAAAAAGTAAAGCACAATAGGTGAAATTAATTTTAAAAATATATTTCATTTAACCCAGTGTATCCAAAATAGTAGCATTTCAGCATGTAACTAATATGATAATTATTAACTATTTTCTGTTTTTAAAATACAAAATCTTTGAAATCTAGTGTGTATTTTATATTTATATAACATCTCAATTTGGACTAGCCACATTTCAGATGCTTAATAGCCACATGGGGCTAACTGCATATGAGACAGCACAGGTCTGTATCTCTCAAAATCACAATTTCAAAATTTGTGTCATAGCCACTGGCTTTATAGATATGTGTAAAATTCTGTCTTAACAAGTACCTTAATTTAGAATTTTGTTTAGTGGTACTCCTCCCATGGGTTGATTCATGGGTCATCTGTTTTCAGTGAATTTTACTAAAGAATTTAGAACAGAGTATTTTATTTTTAGTCCTTGTAACAGTCAAATCTATTTAGTTTTGATATTTATCTTTTCTGTATTAACAATTTGTTTATTGGGGTCTTAGTGTAGTGTAAAGTTCTTCCACTCAGCAAATACTTACTGAGCATCTACTGTGTGCCAGCAACTGAGTTAGATATTAGGAATAAACAGTAAATTAGAGAGTTCCCGTCATCCTGGGATTTACAGACTTTTAAGAAAAAAAAATAAAAATAACAAGAAAAGCCACACAAAAATTAATTAAAATAAATGGTCATTAGAAAAGAAGTGCAAAATACAATGCAAGTTTCTAATAGGGTCACCAAACCTGGTCTAAAACTATTTGACCCTGGTCAAAATAGGGTCAGAGAAGTTTCCTAAGGAAGTTCAATTTGGGTTAAGATTTGAAAGATAGATAGAATTCACCTGGGTCTCAGCCTGAATGTTACCTCCTTGACAAGGCCTTCCCTGATCAAACATTCTAGAGTAGCCTTGCAGTCTTTGTCTTATTCTATCACCTCGCTATATTTTCATCATAGCATTTATCAGTAGCTGATATTTTTTTTCTTTTCAGTCTCAATATGGTAGGATATCAATAAATATTTGATAAATTAGATATGTGAGAGAGTTGGGACGTCCTACAGGAAGAGGGAAGAGCACATCAAAGGTCTTCAGGTAGAAGGGAGTTGAAAGAAAGCCAATTTTTGGCTAGAGCACAGAGAACAGAAAGTTATCACCAGATAGGACTGGGGAAATGGACAGAGGCCAGACCATTCAGTGTCATATAGGATCTATCCTAGACCAACAGAAAACCATTAAAAGATTTAAAAGCTAAGGGATGACCTGTGAATTTTGCTTTTGAAGGATACTCTATAATTCTGGCAACAGAATAGATTGAAATGAAGATAAGAGTGACTCTGGTATGCTGTAGGAGTCTATGGTAGGATGGGCCATGATAATAATTTGGATTTGTGTGGCAGTGGTGAAAATAGATGTGTGCTTAATAATTAATTAATTAATAATAAGACAGATGATATATCTTAAGACATTATTGAATTTGGTTAGGTTTTGTTCCCTATGCTCCAGTGATTATGTCCTATCCTATGACAGGACCAACAAATTACATCCCCTATTTAAAAACTTTGATTTTCCAATGTACAGTGAAATAGTTGTATCATTATCATTTGAGTTTAACAAAGTAATTTACTGTTTACTTGTTAGAAACCTGAGAAACTATTTGTTATATCAGATTGATTATTTAGCATATAACGAAGTGATTTTTTAGTGGTCCCTGGGAAAAAAAAGTTTTAGTAGATTATCAGTTATAAAAGTATTTATTCCAATGGAATTTTACCTACACATTCTGAGCCAGTCTGCAGTTATGTTTTAATAAGTTATATTTTTCTATATAAAGGTGATATGGTAGGGTGCTCTATTATTCCATTTTTTATATGATGATTTGGGATAAAGTGTACTTTTTAGGATCATAAGATATGATGATTTCTTTTTTTTTAAAGATTTTATTTATTTATTTGACAGACAGAGATCACAAGTAGGTAGAGAGGCAGGCAGAAAGAGAGAGAGGGGGAAGCAGGCTCCCCACCAAGCAGAGAGCCTGATGTGGGACTCAACCTCAGGACCCTGAGATCATGACCTGAGCTGAAGACAGAGGCTTTAACCCACTGAGCCACGCAGGCACCCTTTATGATGATTTCTAAAAGCTCCTATTGTGTAATATGCTCATGTGTTCCTAAGTGAAATGCCACTTCACTATGTCGTACATGCTTTTCTAAGACTTGGAGCCTATCGTTAATCATGTATTCTCCTTATCAATGATCTAAATTCAAGTGTTGGCAAACTACTTCAAGGCTAGATAGTAAGTACTTTAGGCTTTGCAGGCCACATATGGTCTCTGTTGTATATTCTTTGTTTTTCAAAGCCTTTTAATGTAAAAACCATTCTTAGCTCATGGACTGTGTGTACAAAAATGTCTGGGACCTAGATTTGGATTGCTGGCTACAGTTGCAGACTCCTGATCTAAGGTCTCTATCTACTGATATGCATTAGTAAAGGAAACGTATAGAGAGCATTGTTGTTTACTTTTCTTTTTTTTTTCTTTTATTAGCATATAATGTATTACTTGCTCCAGGGGTACAGGTCTGTGAATCCTCAGGTTTACACACTTTACAGCACTCACCATAGCACATACCCTCCCCAATGTCCATAACCCAACCACCCATTGGTTTTTAAACATTTTTAGCAGCAAACCCATTTTTCAGAAAGCATGTTAAATGAAACCTTCAACTATAAAGTAGATAAAAGAGCAGAGCCACTATACTTTTTTGTTTGAATGTACCATGGGGTCTTCCAAGGTATAATTTGAATAAATTTGATTTATTCAAATAATTTCATAAAGAATAGTAAAGGTTTGTGTGTCATCTCTGTGGCAGAATTGGGTGTTAATGAAAGATTCTGTTTGTCCCATTTTCTGTGGGTCTTTTAAATAGCAGAGTCATAGAAATACAAATTCAATTTCAGGGGCCTGGTTAATGAGCTGTAATTGTTTTGGACTGCACTTTAAACCCCTTTTTGGGTCTTCTGTATTAAATACTTCTTGAAATCAGCACCTAAACATAGAAGGAACTCTAATTGAACTATTTCTTGTAGTGACCATGTAGTAAATGCTGTGAGGTACATAAATTCATCTGAGTGGGATTAATAGTACACTCCCATGAACTTTTGGCCAAATAAACCAAATACTTGGTGTTGCTTTTCATTTTTAATATTGATTTTTATCACAGGGACATGATGATGAAGTATTTGTCTTAGAAGCACATCCGTTTGATCAAAGGATCATACTTTCAGCGGGTCACGATGGGAACATTTTTATTTGGGACCTTGACCGGGGGACCAAAATTCGGAATTATTTTAACATGGTAAGAAAAATCTGTATTTAGTTCATATTAAGGCAGATATCTCTTATATGACAACTTGGTAATTACAGTATACTTAGTGCCAAGGAACCTCTGTCATCTTTGTTTAACTCCATACAATAACTTAGAGAATGTCTCAAGACCTGAGAGTAAGGCCAATCAAGAGTTACACCTTTCAGAGTGACTCTGTTGTCATGGCATTAGCATTTTCTAAATTCTTGTCGCCAGCTCTTAATTCTAGAAACTCAAGTTTAATAAGCTTTTGGAGCTAGCAGTAACCAAAATCACAGAAAGTGTAATGCTTAAACAATAATCACAATGTGTAAATCCTAATCGTGACTGTATTGTATCTGCTTCTGGTAAACCCCATATGGCTTAGTTGTAATCAGGAAGTTGTTTGGCAAACATGGAATTGAAGGTATAGATACTCTTAAGATATATTTTATTCAAACCATGGAAAAATCTGGTGAGCTATCTCTTTTCCCAGTAGAACATCCTCGTATGGTAATGGGAATACTCATATCCTCCATATTTCGTGTTCCTCTCTGAGGAATAGTTCTGAGGAAACATTTCTAAATTGTCAACCTTTGAGCTCTCTTTTATAGGCTTTGTATAGTTCTAGAGTGTTAATAATACCTTGTCGTTTTTTAGTAAAATTGATTTGTGTGCTTTAATTTTAGGAAGACCATTTTAAGACTTAGTTGCATTAAAATTTAAGGTGTGAAGATATTATCTTGACTTTGCTGAAATAGCACTTTTGTCATTTTGGTTGTGTTTAGGTCTTTTCTTCTTCTCAGTCATTCATTTAGTACTTCTTGAGATATGACCATGCTAGTAATGTTTGATACCATCTATTGCATTTACCATTTATTGCATATCTTCTTTTTAACTTCTTTCAGAGCTTTACTGTTTCAGTAGGGTTCTGGCTACAGAAGCCAGAGAGTACATTGGAATGCTGATGCATCACAGATTTCAAGATATTAGGAAGCTGAATCTATTGCCTACTTATTATTTGAAAATTACCTCTTAAAGATGACTTAGAGTGACTCCTCTAAATTTCAGATTGAAGGCCAAGGCCATGGTGCAGTGTTTGATTGTAAATTTTCACCAGACGGAAACCATTTTGCCTGCACAGACTCTCATGGTCATTTGCTGCTTTTTGGTTTTGGATGCAGTAAATACTATGAAAAGGTTAGTCTATTTAATTTTTGTTACAGACTCTAATTTTGGATTGTATCATTCATAAATTTTATTTCAAGTCTTCCAGTTAATAAGGGTCATTGTGTGTCAATAGACACAAAATAACAAAGTCACCTTTCTTGATAAAAGTTTTCATCACTGCCAGAACATAGGCTTGGCAGTTTTCATCACTATTAAGATATAGGGTAATGTAGATATAAAAATTCATTAGGAAATCCTTTGGCTTAGAACATATTCTCTGTACTGCCCTTCGGGTGTAATGGAGAACAACTTTACCAGATTGCATCTTATAACTCATCATAAGTTAGAAATAAACAGCTGGTGACCAAATGTTAATTTTCTTGCTTGGCCACTTTATTAGTCATCTTGTTAAAATACTTTGGAAGCTAACTTAATTGGTTCTTTATATTTTATTAGCTATGAATTTGAAATAGATTATAGATTCTTAAAGTTGGAAGAGAACTCAGAATCATTGAGTTTAGCTCAATACTTATATCATCTTTGAGTATTTTTTATGTATTTGGTACTTACCTGCTTTGCCATTTATATTATACTCCCATCTATCCTTAGTTGGGTATAAATAAGCAATAAAAATAGCTGTAATAGTTTGTATGATGTTTGCAACTTAAGTGAAAATACCTAACTTTATCTACTGTGTTATTGCTCTCCTTCATGTGCTAATTGGAGAAATACATACAGGGCCAGAAAGTAATACGGATTATAGGATTTTTGTGGAGAAGAGATAAGATTAACATTTCGGTGATTCATTTCTTCCTGGAGGGAACAAAAAGCAATAGAGGGCTATAAGAGTATGTAAAAAGTGTCTGATTTGAAAAATGCATTCTCTCTAGGAATAAAAATTAGTTCCCTATGCATGTTAAATACTTAAAACCTGTCATAAAGATTCCAGATCAGATGTTCTTCCACACGGATTATCGACCCCTTATCCGTGATGCCAACAACTATGTACTGGATGAACAAACCCAACAAGCTCCTCACCTCATGCCTCCCCCATTCTTGGTGGATGTTGATGGCAATCCTCATCCTACAAAATTCCAAAGACTAGTACCAGGACGGGAAAATTGTAAAGATGAACAACTTATACCACAGCTGGGATATGTGGCTAATGGTATGTTATTTCCAAAATTAAATGTAAAACATTTTACTAAATGTTATACTTGCTGCTGTTCTCTCTATATGTCCCTTGCTAAACTCTGTAGTAAGTTATAATATATTTTACCTAATCTATTAATTTGCAGTTTTATAGTACTTACCAGAGTAGTTTTACATTTTTTATGTCACTTAAACACAGAAAAATGGATTAGGACAATAAGCATGTACTCAAGCAGAAAATGTATTGACCTGCTTCCTTAGAACCCTGAACATTAAATTTACTAACTTTAATGTGTCAAGCTTTTCTCATTGGTGAAATTCCACTGCTCATATTATTGGTATTTTAATTTGACATTCTGTAGTTAATAGACCAAAGATAAAGAAATTTCAAAAACCATAAACTGGGATATGGCCATTTACCCATTCTCTTGTATGAAATACAAAGAATTATTTAGTGTTTAAATAACAGTCACTCCTGAAGGATGTAAAGGAAGCAGTGATGAGCACGATGCATGATGTAAGGATACTAGAATAAGACGCTGAACTATGCTATTCCCTGTCAAAGCAACTCTTCTTTTTCAAATTTTAATTCCAGTATGGTTAACATACATTGTTATATTTGTTTCAGCATACTATATACTATATAGTGATTCAGCAATTCCTTGTATTGCCCTGTGCTCATGATGACAAGTGCACACCTTAATCCCTGTCACCTGTTTGACCCCCACCCCACCCGACTCCCCTCTACTAACAATCAGCTTTTTCATTATAGTTAAGAGACTATTTCCTGGCTTGACTCTTTCTCTCTCTTTTGTTTTCCTTTGCTCATTTATTTTGTTTCTGAAATTCCACATATGAATGAAGTAATACAGTATTTGCCTTTCTCTGACTAACTTATTTCAATTAACATTACATTCTCTAGCTCTATCCCTGTCATTGCAAATGGCAAGATTTCATTCTTTTTTATGGCTGAGTAATATTCCATTGTGCATTTGTGTGTCTATATGTGTATGTGTGTGTATGTATACTATATCTTTATCCTTTCACCTCTTGATGGAAACTTGGGCTGATTCTGTATATTGGCTATTGTAAATAATGCTGCTATAAACGTACATGTATCATTTCAAATTGGCCTTTTGTGTTTTTTGGGTGAATACCCAGTGGTGTGGTTACTGGATCTTAGGGTACTTCTATTTTTAACTTTTTTTTTAAAGATTTTATTTATTTATTTGACAGATAGAGATCATAAGTAGGCAGAGAGGCAGGCAGAGAGAGGAGGAAGCAGGTTCCCTGCTGAGCAGAGAGCCCGATGTGGGGCTCGATCCCAGGATGCTGGGATCATGACCTGAGCCGAAGGCAGAGGCTAAACCACTGAGCCACCCAGGCGCCCCTATTTTTAACTTTTTAAAAAAGATTTATTTATTTGAGAGAGAGAGAAAGAGAGCACAAGTGCGGGGAGGGGCAGAAAGAGAAAGTCTCAGGCAGACTCCCACTGAGTGCAGAGCCCAACACCGGACTCCATTTCATGATCCTGAGATCATGACCTGAGCTAAAATCAAGAGTCAGACACTTATCTGACTATGCCACCCGGGTGCCCCACGATTTTTATCTTTTTGAGGAACCTTGTTACTGTTTCCACAGTAACTACACCAGTTTGCATTCCCACCAAAGGCACAAAAGGGATCCTTTTCCTCCACATCCTTGCCAACACTTGATGTTTCTTGAGTTTTTGATTTTAGCCATTCTGAAGAGTGTGAGGTGGTATCTCGTTGTAGTTTGGATTTGCACTTCCTTGATTGTGAGGTTGAGCATCTTTTCATGTGTCTGTTGGTCATTTGGACATCTTATTTTTTTATTATGTTATGTTAGACACCATACAATACATCATTAGTTTTTGATATAGTGTTCCATGGTTTATTATTTGTGTATAACACCCAGTGCTCATTATAACACATGCCCTCCTTAGTAACCATCATGGGGCTAACCCATCCTCCCACCTCCTCCCCTCTAAAACCCTCAGATTATTTCCTAGAGTCCATAGTCTCTCATGGTTTGTATCCCTATTTGATATCCCCCCTTTCAGTTTTCCTTTCCTTCCCCTAATGTCCTCCATGTTATTCCTTACGTTCCACATATGAGTAAAACAATATGATAATTGTCTTTCTTTGCTTAACTTATTTCGCTTAACATAATCACCTCCAGTTCCATTCATATTGATGCAAATGGGGGTATTCATCCTTTCTGATGGCTGAATAATATTCCATTGTGTGTATGGACCACATCATCTTTATCTTTTCACCTGTTGAAGGTCATCTCGGCTCCTTCCACAGTTTGGCTATTGTGGACATTGCTGCTATGAACATTGGGGTGCATGTGCCCCTCCTTTTCACCACATCTATATCTTTGGTGTAAATATCCAGTAGTGCAATTTCTGGGTCATAGGGTAGCTCTATTTTTAACTTTTTTTTTTTTTTTTTTTTTTTTTTTAAATTTTATTTATTTATTTGACAGAGAGAGATCACAAGTAGACAGAGAGGCAGGCAGAGAGAGAGAGAGGGAAGCAGGCTCCCTGCTGAGCAGAGAGCCCGATGCGGGACTCGATCCCAGGACCCTGAGATCATGACCTGAGCCGAAGGCAGCGGCTTAACCCACTGAGCCACCCAGGCGCCCATATTTTTAACTTTTTGATGAACTTCTGTACTGTTTTTCAAAGTGCCTCTACCAACTTACATCCCCAACAGTGTAAGAGGGTTCCCCTGTCTCCACATCCTCTCCGACATTTGTTGTTTCCTACCTCATTAATTTTTGTCATTCTGACTGGATGTTCAGATGTCTTTGGAGAAATGTCTGTTTATTTCTTCTGCCTATATTTTAATTGGAGTATTTGGTTTTGAGTGTTGATTCAAGTAAGTTCTTTATATATTTTAGATACTGTTTATTGGATATGTCCTTGGCAAATATTTTCTCCCATTCAGTAGGATAACGTTTAGTTTTGTTGATTGTTTCCTTTGCTGTGCAGAACCTTTCTATTTTGATGCAGTACCAATAATTTATTTTGGCTTTTATTTCCCTTGCCACAGGAGACCTATCTACAAAAATGTTACTATGTCTGATATCAGAGAAATCATTGCCTATACTCTCTTCTAGGATTTTTATGGTTTCAGAATTCACATTTAGGTCTTTTTAAATTTTTTTAAAAGATATGTTTACTTATGAGAGAGAGAGAGTGGCGAGAGGGAGAAAGAATTCCCAAGCATACTTCCTGCTGATCATGGAGCCCAGCTCAGGGTTCAATCCTCGGACCCTGAGATCATGACCTGAGCTGAAATCAAGAGTCAGCCATTTAATGGACTGAGCCACCCAGGCTCCCCAGTATAGACATTCTTAAATATTTGTTCTTCCAATCCGAAAGCATGGATGTCTTTCCATTTCTTGGTGTCATCTTCAATTACTGTCATCAGTGTTTTCATAGTTTTAAGAGGATAGGTCTTTCAACACTTTGGTTATAGATTTACTCCAAAGTAACATTATTTTTAGTATCATTTTCAATGTGATTGTTTTCCTAAATTCTCTTTCTGCTGCTTCATTATAAGTATGTAGAAATGTAGTAGATTTCTGCACATTTTCTATCCCATGACTCCTGAATTCATATGTCAGTTCTAGTAGCTTATTGGCAGAGTTTTTAAGGTTTTCTCTATAGTGGGTTTTCTGCAGATAGTGAACATTTAACTTCTTCCTTACCAATTTGCATGCCTTATATTTTTTGTGTGTGATCTAATAGCTATGGCTAGGATTCCAGTACCATCTTGAATAAAAGTGGGGAGAGCAGATATAATTTTCTAGTTCCTTACTCTAAGGGGAAAGCTCTCAGTTTTTCCCCATCGAGGATTATATTAGCTGGTTTCTTGTTTTGTTTTGTGTTTTGTTGTTGTTGTTGTTGTTTTTGTATACAGCCTTCATGATGTTCAGGTATGTCCCCTCTATCCCTACTTTGTTGAGAGTTTTTATCATGAATGGCTGTTATACTATATCAAATGTATTCTCTCCATCTATTGAAAGGATCATATGGTTCTCATCCTTTCATTTATTATTTATTTTATTTTATTTTTCTTTTCAGGGTAACAGAATTCATTGTTTTTGCACCACACCCAGTGCTCCATGCAATACGTGCCCTCCATAATAACCACCAACTGGCTCCCCCAACCTCCCACCCCCCGCCCCTTCAAAACCCTCAGATTGTTTTTCAGAGTCTGTAGTCTCTCATGGTTCATCTCCCCTTCCAATTTTGCTCAACTGCCTTCTCCTCTCCATCTCCCCATGTCCTCCATGTTATTTGTTATGCTCCACAAATAAGTGAAACCATATGATAATTGACTCTATCTGCTTGACTTATTTCACTCAGCATAATCTCTTCGAGTCCCGTCTATGTTGATAAAAAAGGTGGGTATTCATCCTTTCTGATGGAGGCATAATTCTCCGTAGTGTATATGGACCACATCTTCCTTATCCATTCGTCCGTTGAAGGGCATCTTGGTACTTTCCACCATTTAGCGACCATGGCCATTGCTGCTATAAACATTGGGGTACAGATGGTCCTTCTTTTGACTACATCTGTATCTTTGGGGTAAATACCCAGTAGTGCAATTGCAGGGTCATAGGGAAACTCTATTTTTAATTTCTTAAGGAATCTCCACACTGTTCTCCAAAGTGGCTGCACCAACTTGCATTCCCATCAACAGTGTAAGAGGGTTCCCCTTTCTCCACATCCCCTCCAACACATGTTGTTTCCTGTCTTGCTAATTTTGGCCATTCTAACTGGTGTGAGATGGTATCTCAATGTGGTTTTAATTTGAATCTCCCTGATGGCTAGTGATGATGAACATTTTTTCATGTGTCTGATAGCCATTTGTATGTCTTCATTGGAGAAGTGTCTGTTCATATCTTCTACCCATTTTTTGACATGATTATCTGTTTTGTGTGTGTTGAGTTTGAGGAAGTTCTTTATAGATCCTAGAT